CCTTTTGGCCCCGTAGGAGGAGGTACGTAGTAGTCTACGCCATGATCTCTCCTCTTCTTCTTTTTACAGCAGACAAAGAGCAAGCTTAGCACAACAAGCACAGCGATCCCACCAATCGCAATCCCAACGACGAGTCCGGTCGAGATACCGTTAGACGAGTCGGAAGAAGACGATGATGTAGAAGACGACGGCGGCGGTGGAGACAACAGAGATCTCCCGGAAGGCGGCGGAGGAGAGCGAGTAGATGGAGTGCTAGAACCAGAAGGAGGTGGTGGAGTCGGGGTGCTCGATGTCGACGAAGGAGGTGGAGAGGTGGATGTAGAAGAGGGGGCTGGAGCTGCCGGGGGCGGAGAGGCGACAGGAGTTACCGTAGAGGTAGAATTGGGAGGCGGGGGGGAGACGGTGGGAGATACAGGAGTCACCGGAGAGGTAGTATTCGTAGAAGGCGGAGAAGTGGGAGAAGGAGAGGCTACGGGGGGTGACGACATTGGCGGATTCTCGCCGAACAAGCTAACCTTGCCTGCAAATGATCTCAACGGAAAAACATAAGCTAACAAGACAACCGGGACGGTGGATGGGTTTTGTTTTATCCGGCAGCGCGTGTAGAAAAGCCGGCGAGCTTCTATCACCGGGCTTCTCCCTGTTTTCTCAGACTCTGTCTGTTTCGGTCTGCGAAGTAATAAATGAGTTCAGGAATGAAAGAGGAAGAATTTCTTTTTGCGACGAGATTCTGCCGAGAATTACGTTTTCTCTTTTGGAATTCGAAGGTTCAAAGTTGGAGAGAGAAGACTGCCTTATCTTGTTTGGAGAGTGGAGATTTGAAAGTCACAGACTCACAGTGCAGAACAGCAGAATTGAGAAACCCTTTTTCACATGCAGCGCGAGCGCGGTGTGGTGGGGGGTGTAATGTGGGGTCCACACGATTACTCCGCTTCCGCTTCGCGACTTTTGACATCTCGTTTATTCTGCCGGATTACAACTTTACAAGCCACGACATTACTGGAGCGCGTTTAACTGGAATAAAATAGGCAAAAAACAGACATAACTGGAGCTCGTGTGCTCTTTAAATATTTACCGTTGGATTTGGATATTAGGGATTCAAGCGATGTTATGGTTCCATTTTGACGGTTGGAAGCTCGGTAGTGCCCCATTCCTTGTTGAATCATTTCCGGTTTTAAGTTCAACCGATTTCGCTTGGTGGTCGGTGGCGCTTTTGTCTGCCGGCCGGCTGCTATTCTTCTTTCTTACAACGCATAATATATCTATAGTCCTTTTCCTTTTTACATTTTGCAGCATAACCCCTTTTTTCGAGGACATGAGTATAGAAAAACAGGCATTGTTTGTGAAAAAAACGAAATATTTATTATAAGTTTAATTACTTTTAACTAATATGTTTATATAATTATAAAATGCTTAATTTATTAGTTTTCAACTTTATATAATTATATACATTATTCATGTATAATTTATACATATAATTAAATAATGAATATCATAAAATTCAATTAAACTTGATCCTAGTAAGATCCTATATAAAGTGAACCAATGATTGAAATAATATACCACATATTACATATTGTTAAAGTTTTGATGGTAAATATTATGAGAGTTCCTAAAAAAGTAAAAAATGATAAGAACTTGCAAAAAAAATAAATAAATTACATAATATCTTTAATATGATTGATTAAAATCTTGATTTAACAAGCAATAAACATTCTTCGAGAGCAAATTAAGGATTTACTACTATTTTTTTTTTTCTTTTACTCTCTATACTATGTGATAGGTGTTCAAATTTTGCTTAAAATTAGGGGTTGTTCGATAGTGTAGTTCACTTGAAAATATTGCGGCTCGGTTCATTTTTTATCCACACCACAATGAAAAGAGGGATTTGTTAGAAATGCAGCTCAATTCGGTACACATTATAGTGTGGATTAAATTAAGCAACTTCACAATGTATCATTCATGCTTAAATCTCGTGATCAATCTACACCATAACAAAGCAATTATTTATGTCTTGCAATAAATTTCCAAAATATTTTATAACAAATTTTGTTTGATAAAAGCATTCACATTATCCACACAATGGTGCAAAATGTCTTCAACCACTTCATTGTGCTACTCAATAGATTGGGTCACAATATTGTATATGTAGATCATAGTCATGGCTAGTGAATTTATCTTCACTCCTTAAATACTTTTTAAGTGTTCAATTGATTGACATATAATTCACTCCTAGAGCTAGCTAAGGGTGTCAATGGACCAGTTTTAAATTGGACCCCATCCAGTCTAAAATCAATTTGGATGGATTGGATGGACCAACAAGTTATATTGGATTGGATTAATTCGGTCCAAAATATTTATTAGATTGGATTGGAACTGGTCCATCCGTAATAAATTTATATTGGATTGGGTTGGATTAAGCCAATATCTAGTCCATTGATATAAGATAAGAATATAGGTATCAATGGACCAGGTCTGGGTTGAAACCAATTCAAATCAAAACGAATTTAAACAGATTAAATGATCTAGACATTGAATTGGACCGGTCCAAAATGATCCAAAATATTTATTGGACTGGATTGGACCTGATCCATTTATAATGGACTCACATTGGACTGGATTGCATTGGACCAAATCCAGTCCAATTGACACCCCTACCTAGAATTAGGATCTGCTACCTACAAGACACCATCCACACTATTAACAAGACAAATATAGTTGCACACATCTCGCATATTTGTTGAACGATTTTAAGGAAGCTTGCATCTTAAATTCAAGGAGGAAAAAAAAAATACCCATGAAAAGTTTGAAACCCCACAAATCAAGAAGTAGAAAGAAGGAAGACAGATGGTTTGGTGAGATGGAAGCACCATTGGTCCATTCACATCTCTTCTCTCTTCTTCTCTAACTCTCCAGAGATGATGTCTGATTGGTTGTCTACCAGCCTATTCTAAATTGACTTCTGCTGGTTTTAAGGCCCTTCATAATAGGCCATTACCCACCACCTCCAATTTCCCCTCTCCCAAACAACACCTTCGCAAATTCACCCCAAATCACCAATAAAAAATAAGTTTGCCAATTCCACTCACTTTTTCTTCTATTTTCACTACTCTTTTCCCCCCTTAAACTGAATTTGTTTCAACTAAAATGGATGATAAGTTTTTCAATTTGCCCCTTACATTTTTTTTTTGGTATGTGCCTGTGGACCACAGCTTTGTTATTTTCTTATCCTGTCCTGTACTGCTGTTAGCATTCTCCGTTCATTATTATATTCTTGCTCTACATTTGCGGTAGCACTGGAATACAGTTGGCGTAAGGGCCACCTATGACGTATCATTTTATACATATACGTCCAGACAAGTGAAGGAAGCGTTTAGCGTCAGTTTTGTGTCTCAAGACTGGGGCCAATGGGCATTAATCCATGATCAAGGTTTTAAAAATCGATCAGAACGTCAGAACCGGAACTGATTTAGCCACTAGTTTTTGGGTCACCAGTTTGATCATTCTGATCGAATATATGGCTTGTTCTAACTTAAAAAATAAAAAATAGCTGAAAATCGTTATTCAGATTGAATGAATTGATGGTTCAATCACCTAGATCAATGGATTACTGATCAAATCAACAATCTTTTACTAAAAACTGGGTGAAGGATGAAATAGAATTAATTGTTTAAACGGTTCTCAAGCCCAATGGCCCGACTGTCTGGGTCAACCACGATTCGAAAACACAGTCCTCGCCGATTGACACCGCCGGCCGGACTCAGGACCTATTTACCACCGTTGGCGTTGGGTAACTGGGTTCGTGGCTCGTGGGTCGCTTGATATTAATGATAAATCCAGCCCTTGACAGGTTATATTAGAGCTGGATGGATGGGTAGAAACTAGTGGAGATTCTTTGTAACTTCAATTTTAGTGTATAATAGTTGGAAACATTAAGCATACGAAAGCATAGAAATAACGGGTCGTTATAAGTATTAGGTAGAATAGAATTATATTTTTTAATTTAATATTTAAATTCAAAACTTTTTCTTAATAGGTTTCTGTTACTCTAAGTGAAAGGAAGTCCAGCTGGAAACAGCAGTCATCTAATCACATTGACAAAAGACTGAACCAAAAATCGATCTGATGGATCCCTTGTTAAAAATTTTGGAAATTTGTTGAGACCTTGGACCTTAGGTTATCTACCCCATTTATATTGATTTTTTTTATAAAAATTATACCGAAATTTTCCCTTGTGTTGTGTTTGGTTTCATAGAGAATAAAAAAGTTGAGGGAAAGTTCTTGAAGGAAACACACTCACATTTTTGCAAGAATGGCTCAGTTTGGAAGAAGTAAAAATACAAATGTATATAAAATAATACAAAACATAAGGTTTTATACTCTACAAATTTGTATGTGTACTCTTTTCAAATTTAGCTAATGCAAATGAATTTGCGGTGCAAATAAACCAGGCAACAAGTTCATGGTAGAGGACAAAACTCAAACTTGATCTCTCTTTCTCTCTGGCATCCAAAGACATAGCTCTTCATTTGCATAATTAAAGAAGGTTAGAGGATAACAAATGATTGTTCAGGCCAATCAAAAACTAAAATTAGACCAGTGAGTTGGTCCCGAGTTGGTGGGTCAACATGCAGAGATGTTGAGGGCAGTTAGGGCCCTAGGGCCCACTATGAGGATAACATGTGAATCCCCCAGTGTTAGGTTGGATAACTGTTAAACAGAACACCTAGGTCTTTGTTTGTACTTTAATGGAAATTATTCTTCACCACTTACCACATCACTGGTAGGAGGAGTAGAACAGTTACAAACCACGAAAATTAATTGCAGAATTGAAGATGGTGAGTTGATTAATTGGGTTCATTCAAACCTGTATTGTAAATGGGTTCACAGCCGGTCCAGTGAAAATGAAGGAAGTAAGAACCCCTTATCCTTGAATATACATAGACAACTCATTATCATTTTCCTTGGTTCTCTGTCTCATTATTTGTGTACAACTTGTGGGCCGTGATCCAGAAAGAACAAAAGTAAAAGAGTAGTGGGTCATGTGATCAATCAAAAGGATTGCCAAGAAGTAGCAGACTAGCAGTACAAAGGCTTCTCCACATCACTGACAGTAATCAGTGCATCTGGTGGGTGCAGGATTGTTCAATTGAGTGCTAGGAATACCCCACAACCTCTAATGCTATATATTGAGTAGTTGCTTTTTGTCCCCAGACTCAACTCAGAATAGAAGGTCCTTCTGATCAGTGTGGAGTAATGTGGACAATCAAACCAAATCAGGGGGCCGGATGGGCCCTAAAACCAGCTGTGGATTATTGGCCCTAAGGCCCTAGCAAACAAAGGAAAGATAAAAGACACACAACCCAGAAAAGAAAAAGGCAAGTGCCCAAGTGGAGTGGGTCAAACCAAAATGTTTATATGAAAATATGGAATTGTCTTGAATTTCAAGCTTGCTTTATCCAACCCATATGGAGAGATCAAAGGGTTCATTACTGAAAACAAAAGTGGTCGGTGGAGCACATGCACTCGATTTCTGTTTGGGAATATCTACTTTTGTACTGTTTCTGGTGGCATGGCACATTTGGGAGGGGAATACCCTCTCTCTCACTGGAAGCAAACATTCTCAAGCCTATCCAACAAAGTAATTTACTCCAAAATTGATCAATGAAGCAGAGGAATTATTTTATTAAATCTGGGCAGTTTAATTTTCAGATACATTCACCCCATTCACTATCTGTTTTTGTAGAGCAATCTCTAATTGTTAATTAATTCATGGTGATCTCATTGATCACTGTGACGGGTCTATCTGGACATCTGGGGTTGAGGGTTCAGAGAGAATCCAAAGCAGACCCGTCTTAGGCAGTAGGCAGGAGCAGGATCGAGAGGGTTGGTGGTACAGAAGCAGAGGTTTGCTCCTCCATATGTAAAACCCCAAAAAGCTTACAGCAGGTTTCTTGCGAAATGGCCCACCAATGTTCGACGATTTGTGTGGCCTTACGTCTATGTATATATGTTAATGGTGTCTGAATCCATGCAGAAAGATTGGACCTTATCTGCATCACTAAAGTGTATATATATACAACATCGACTCACACATGCATGCAGAGAGTGGAGACCGCCATGTCGATTGGTGAATGAGTTGTAAAGTTTTTTTATCTGCTTTTACTCCAGAGGGCAACGATCAGAACCCATATTGCAAAAGAAGGTAACGTATGCGAGTTTTTGCAGGAATTCCTGGAAGTATATTATGCTTCATTAATTCAATTGTTATATATATATGAATTCATACATTTATTATATTCAACTACAAGTCTGCAACCTTGAAAGACAGGCTGATCAGCTCGTTACAGTTAGCGTCATTATACTGCATGGTCTCCATGATCTTCAAGATAAAACTTCAGAAACCAGTTCTTCATTTACTACATGCACAAGCTTAATATTAGGAATGTGTTGAACCATCCATCGATCTTCTCCAGCTCTGTCACTCCGTAGCCTATCTACAAATTCCTCCAGCATCTCCCCAAGCTCCAACTTTTCGAGAGCAGAAAGATATTGGAAGCCTCTCGGAAGCTTTGCTAGTTTCGGACAAGTCGCGATGACAATAGACCGAAGACATTGCATGGTTCCTTGCTCAATGGGGCTCCATTCTTCCAGTTCCTTCAGGCCGACGATCACCATCTTGCTTAGCCTCCGAAAGCATCCGGTGCCGCTGCAACCCATTCTTTTCCCTGCATAGGCATCAAGTAGGAAGAGTGTATCCAAATTGGGCAATTGACAAAGGGTGCTAAGTGGGTCCTCTTTTAACTTGCTATGTGATAAGTGGAGCAAGCGTAGACAGTTGAGAGAGGCAAACCACATTGAAGACTGTTCTATTCTCCCCTCCAGTGTTAATTCTTCAAGGTAGATCGGGTGAGGTGACAGTGATTCCAATTCAAGCTTTATGTCCCGAGAGGAAGTTAAAGTTAAACAACAGAGATGCTTCATCTTCTTGATTGCCTGAAACAATTCTCCACTGTGTTCTCCTCCACTGCCCACTTCCCCAATGAATAATGTCCTGAGCTGGGTTAAGTGTCCAAGTTCTCTTACAGTGTTCTTATCAGTTCTCATGCCATGCAGAGTTTGAAGACGTTTCAGACTTCTTGCACCTAATGGTATTGGCAAAGAATGCCTGCGAGAATGGAACAGAAGATGCCTTAGTTGTTGCAGCCAGATGATTCCCCTAGGCAAGCTTCTCAGGTTTGTATATCTAACATCTAAGGTCTCAAGAACACGCAGCTTCTGAAGGGAAGCTGGGAGCTCTTTGATGTGTGTTCTCTTCAGACCCAGATAACGTAGATGAATAAAATCACCCACATCCTCTGGCAAGCTAGCAATCTTGACGCCTTCCAAATCCAGTACCCTCAACAACTTGGCTCCTCTCCATATAATTCGATTTACAGAAGACAATGCAGCTTCACCTTTGCCAAAGACAAGTAAGGAACGGATATTCCACTTGCTCATAGTCGAAGAAAACTCAATGGCCGGAGTGTCATGAATCGCCACACGACGGCATCCTCTCTCAGTCTCATTGTTTTGCTGAGTTATGACCATGCCAAACTCTTCCTTCTCAAACATGTGAATGGCAACATCGCGCATCAGACCATGCATCTTACAAGCTTTCAAGCAGCCACCATCAAAATCTGAAACAATGGCTTGAAGCATGCTTCGATCAATTAATTGTATGAAATAATCATTTGCAACCTCTTCTGGTGTCTTTCGTGGGTGTTCCTCGATGAGACCTTCGGCCACCCACAAACGAATCAGCTTCTCCCGCTCAATTTCAGTGTTCTCAGGGAACAAAGCACAGTACAAGAAACAGTACTTAAGCTGTGGAGGCAGATGGTTGTAGCTTGTCAGCAAGACCCGATTCAGCTGCTCGAGATCTTGGTTGTGATTCAGCTCCCAATCAAGATTCTCGAGGACATTCCTCCATTCTATCAGAGGCATACCCTTCTTGGACATGAGACTCCCCAGGGCTACTACTGCTAGAGGCAAGCCATTGCATTTTCTTAACATGGCATCAGCAAATCTGTGCAAGTACTGCGGACATTTTCCCTGGGGTGTGATGGTGTGAAAAGCTTTTCTGCAGAAGAGCTCCCAGGCTATTTCATGAGGTAGGACACCAAGTTTGTGGACATGGCAATTCTCATCAAGTGGAAAAGCTACATTTTCTACACGAGTAGTGAATACTATCTTACCAAACCCAGCTACAGGCAAAGCATGTTTCAGTCCTTCCCAAACATGAATATCCCAAATGTCGTCAAGAACAAGGACATACCTCTTTTCCTGCAAGTACTTGTGGATCTTCTCTCTGAGTTTGTCTTCGTTCATTGTCTCCACGGCATTTGGAGTTGGCTCCTTTCTAGAACTGTAGAATTCTTCTAGCATGCGTATCAAGATGTCTTTCATTTCATAGGTCTGAGAGACATTGAGCCAAGCAAAGCAATCAAAGCAGGCTTCCACCTTCTTGTAGACTCTCTTTACCAGAGTGGTCTTCCCTAGACCACCCATCCCTACCACTGAGATCACCTTGCGTTGATTCACCTCTTCTTCCTGTAGTAACCATTCCTCCAGTTGCTTCACGTTTCTGTCAATCCCTAGGATATCTTTTTCCTCGACGAAAGGCGAGGCAGCGCTGCGATCTTCCCTTCTTTCTTCTCCATGATCAGAACTAGTTCCTTCTTCTTGGAGGTTGTATTGTTCCCTTCTCTTTGATATGTCTTCAATCTCTTTTCTGATATTTTCCATCTCAGAACGAAACTGATGACAGACAAGCATCTTTTGAAACAAGCGAGGTACACATGAGTTTTCTGACTTGAGAAGCTTCATTTGAAGGAGGAATTCCTCAAGAACATCCTCAAGCTTGAAGAACTCATCTCTGATTTGCGCCACCCACTTGTTTGCAACCTCACCTCTTGGGCCCCTCTTCTCTGCATCTTTCAGAAAGGCCTTCATGGTTGAAAGCTCATCCCTGATAAACTTGATATCATCCCCAATACCAAGCTGCAAATGAGTTTCAAACCAGGCCAACTCTCCCAATTTAGCAAGAAGAGATGTCACCAAAACTTCAGCCATATGACCACTCATAGAAGCTCTGCTTTGCTCTTGGTTCACCTCTATGCTTACCTTTCCATTCCCTTTTACACTACATCATCTCTTTTATAGTTCAAACGAATGAAGATGTCAAGTCATGGTTACTTTGGAAGAAGATGTCTGCCGCTGATCATTTATGGGATAATGTCCAAGGAAAGAAAACTGCTTCCGCCGGTGCAAGATACAATGCAGGCGTATTAATAATGTAATGAGAATGAGCTGTCTACGGTGTACCAAGAAACATTTCCCTCTACGTTTTTCTTCATCTATGATATGAAATGGTTTCTTGGCATGCCCAAGTAGTAGACCATGTTTTATGGTCAAGATTGACTTTGATCGGAATAAACTAACATTAATTTTGTTTGTTTATATTCTGAGTAGAACTGACAATTTTATTGTTTTTTCAGGAGAACCTGTTGGACCATATGACCATTGACAGAAAATATATGAAAAACGTAGAGAATAGGAATAAAATCGGAAATGGCAGAGACAAAGCCAAGTTAATGCTAAATTCCAGTGAGAAATGCATTCCAATGGAAATGGGGTGGGTGGAGTGGGAAATTATAGACAAAACAAAAGCAAGAAAATGCTAACAACGAGAAATGCATTTTCTTCATCCATTTCTTTATATTCCCTTGCGTGTTTTCTACGGCTCCTGACCTGATTCTGTTTCTCTGGCACTTTTCATGTAATTTTTGTTGGCATCCACATTATAAGATATATGCTTGGAACCTACACTCCTCTTAAAAAACACATAAGCTGGTGCATGCATTCTCGTTTTAATTTTTAATAGAACTAGTAGGGAATTCGTGCGATGCACGAGAAAATCCAATGTCTAAGTCTAATTTACTGGTAAAATTGATCCAAATGATATATTGAATGTCGGTTCCGGGTAAATTTTTAAAAGTATATATACTAAATTATTGATTTTTTTAAATATATTAAATAATTTATTTTCTTTTTTAAATATATTATTTACAAAATTACACTAATTTATCTTTTATCTTTCAATATAAGTTAATTAATAATTTCCTTTTCTAAAATTTTCCAATATTATACTAATTTAAATTAATAACAGAAATAATTTGTGTAATTATTGGTTCAAATTAATGTTTTCCTTTACTAATACTAATTTATCTTTAATAATTTAAAATGAAAATCACACAATCTTTAAATAATTTTCCAAAATCTATCAAATGTAATAAAAATTCCCAAATTTCCAAAATATTCCAATAATTATTTACTACATTTTAAAGAAAATTTCCAAAATTACATTAATATATATTTTAATTTTCTTCTCCAAAATTATGATATTTTGTTTGCCAATTTGCAAACTCCACCAMMTCTTTYCHRRAGCTATAATTGTTGAATTTATTTTTCAATTTTATAATTTTTAATTAATTTTAAATGACATTTATAAAGAAATTATTGGTTGAAAATTTTGTATATTCATTGATTTCTAGTATTTTTTTCTGGAAAATAACACAATTTAATTGTTAGTGTAATAAAATTAATTTTAAGAAATTGTAACTATAGTAAAACATTTATTGTAATGATTACTCTATTTAATTACTACACCAAAATTCCAATAATAATTATTTTGAAAAAAATAATTAATTTAACTACACTAATAAATATTATTGAATTACAGTTATTTCAAAATTACTGTAATTACAGTACTTTGAAAATAACAAATTTTACTATAATAATTATTAAGTTTATTACACTAATAAAATTACATTAATAAATTTCTGAAAATGTAATAAGATGGAAATATATTTTAATGACGGGTATAAATGGAAGAATGAAATCAGGGTCTTTGACGATAACATTGAGCCATTTTTATTTTTATTAATGGGTAAGAAATAAATGGGGGAACTTGGAGAGTCTAAGCAATTTATCTGCACAAGAGATATAATCATTAGGGAATCCAGCCCATAAATCAATATAAATGCCCTTGGGATGATTAGTTTTTTTTCATCCACTTCAGTCAATGTAGGTTTGTATATCGGTTGTGTTAGCTGTGATCTTAGTCTTTGCGAAGTTGCAATTATTCTAAGCTTTTATTAATTTCTCCACTGTAAAGAATGTAGGTTTGTATATCTGTTGCATTATAGAAGTGTTCTAAGATAGTGCCTTGAATGAAATTTTACATATCGTTTCAGGACCCTTCCTATACGCCCCTACAGTGGGTGTATCAGGGGTCTGACCAGTTCAGGGGATGGAGGGGTCCTAGACCGGTTCCCCTGAACCAGTTTTGAAAAAAAAATAAAAATAAAAATAAAGTAAAAAAACAAGTATCGAAACACCCAATACGCCGGTAGGGGCGTATCGATATTTTGAACCTTGATTCTGATACCACCAGTATATGAATGCCCTTAGAATGATTCGAAGATTTAATTTCTCCACTGCAATGTTAGTATGTATATCGGATGCATTATCTGTGTTTAAGATGGTCCATTGAGTAAAACTTTCAAGCACAGAAAACCCATGTAAGTTGAATCATTTGAATGCTGCCAGTTCTTCAAACTGTCTTAAGTAAATAATGCTGAATTGCTGATGCATAACCCATCACGTTCTATCTTCTAAGCCAGATAACTAAAACTAAAAGAGGATTTGATCCTGAAATTATTCAAGGATAATTGTAAAAAAAAAAATGCTCATAGAAGTATAGTTACAACATTACAACAACATTTGACTACAATTTCAACAAATGGGGTTACATCCAACATGCATCTCAATGGAGAGTGCTCAGTCAATGAAACATGTGTTGTGCTTGCTGCTCATTACAGGGACCAAGGAACTGGCCTAAATGGAGTACATAGCAACACTAAACAGATGGCTTTGTAACCAGAAGACAGCAAGATTTCAAGATTCTTTTTCCTCTTTTTGGGTAAAAGTATTGGGGATCCTATATATGGCTATTGAGAATTTTAAAAAGGATGCTGGGAGAAAATCCATATATTGGTGGTATTTTGCCTTCTACCCTTTTCTGAGCATGCATATAAGAAGTTAAATGGTTGGCTTCCCTTGCTATGAGAGGGGACTACTCTGGTCTTTCCAATTGCAATTGATGATGAAATCTCAGGTGCCAGGAAGTGAGCTACCTGAACTTGAAAGAATAATGAATGCACAAACAACTGAAAGTGAAAAGACAGAGAACCAAGTATTATCTGTGTACATCTCCATTGCATCTGTGAAAGAGAACCGAGCACGGCTTTCAGCCCAATTACGAATTCGGTCCGCCTCAGCTGCATACAATGCTCTCCCCTAGAAAATATGCTGAAGTAAGACCTCTCTTTTTCATTAACAAAAACGAAAATAAAAAAAAAAATAAAAAAAAATAAAAAAAAAACTGAAAATGAACACTTTGAGTTCAATGGTGATCATACAGTTTTGAGTTGTACATTGACTTGGAAAAAGAATTTACAAGTATTTGAAGAGTTGGAATAAGGTTTTGTTAAGATGAACTAAGGAGCTGTATGATAACAGATAAAGTGGCTGAACTGAATGACATATTGCTTTGTCTTTTAGTGAGTTTGTGAGCTCCTTAATGGCTGAAGGCCTGAAGCTGAAATTGAGTCGATTAGTATACCCTCAAATATTTTATGCTTTTTAGTTATTCTATCCACTAAAAGACAAAGCAATGTCATTTAATTCAGACACTTCCTCCCAAGTATTTGATCAAACATGGAAGGAAAAACATGTGCCTAAATCCAAAAGGCAGAAACCTAAATTGTGAGAGAAGGAAAAGAACTACAGTTTTAACAAATGACCTCAAAATTACTAATTGGATCAACTATAAATGCAGCATGTTTGTTATAAAATGAATTAATCACTGGATTTTTTGGAATCTATTCACCATCCTGAAATGTACTAAGAAAACAATTTTCGGTGGTAATAACTAATAAGCTGCCTATAGGTGCCTTATATCCTCCAGTGCAATAAGCCAACAAGCAAAAGACTTTTTCTTATCAGCTAGTAAAAACTTAGTCACTTGGCAACAAGTAGCTGCGAATGAGCATTTTTCTTTTGTTTTTTTAAAACAAAAGAAATTGTCACATCAAAACCCCCTTAGTTGTCTGAACAGGGTCTCTCTTGCTTAGAACTCTCTGGCTTATACATGTAGCAATTCTTGATGTTGCTCCATCCAAACCTGACACTTCAATTTCAAGGATTTTATGTATTGAAAGCATTATGGTATCACAAAAAATATATTTTGTCTGCAAGACTATGTCAAAGCAGCCCGTATAATCAACAGATTTTAGACTTTCGAGGGGGAAAAGGAAAATGGTAGGCTAATAACATTTACATGGAAAAATAGAATGAGATTACCTGATCATCAAACCATCGACCTCGGCGCAACCATGCAGTTACCAAAGCAATCAAGATCCTTGGTGGGGTTAAGTAATTGATAGCTTTTCCAGTACCCTTCACAACCCTCATCCGAGGAACTAAAGTTCTGGCCACTGTTTCAGGAAGCTCACAGATGATGTTGAACATCTGCTTATTTTTAAGAGTTGAACCACTACAAGTAAACCACCAATTCCATGTTCACTGTCAGATCCTAGTTTTAAGTGGTATTGAGAATGTTTTGATGAAAAGGAAACGTCCAAAATATATACATGACAATTCTTATAGATCATCAATGAAGAAGTTAAAAAATCTTCCTGAACATTCAACCACTCAAAAATTAAGATATTAGAGCAAATCATGAGATTAATTATAAACTTCACGAAAAGTTGACAACTCACATAATTACATGGAGTTATAGGCCAACTGGAACTCAGACCACTCTTCAAAATGGGATCTAAATTTTGAATTCTTAACCCTTAATGTAGATTAAGAAGTTGCATCCTTGCAATCTTAGAATTCCAGATATTGATTTAACAGCAAAGGCTGCAATAACATTAGCAGCAGGAAATAACTTAAGTATTAAAATACCTCAGAAGCAAATCTGTGAGGACCATGCCCGGGGATGCTGTATGTACTCCCACTTTAGACCGCTTGCACTCTTTTAAGAGTGATGCTTGAAACTGTCTCAGGCCACACTTTGTTGCACCATAGCTAAAAGTCAGTGAAGATAATAATAATGTCAGCATCATTTATAGATATTTCCATTGAAAATAAGGAAACCCCATATCTTAATAAGGACAGACAAAATTCCAGATAGAATTTCAGCATCTATGCAAAGGAATAAGAAAATGAATCTCTGAAATAAATAAGGACATAGCTGTTACTTACACAGCTGTCAAAGGAGTGCTAGATCCCCCTGAGCCCGCGCCATCCATATTAAAAATGTGGCCTCCATTCTCCTGCGATCTCATCACATGCATCGCTTCTCGTGTGCAGATTAAAGATCCAGTCAAGTTTGTCGAGACAATCTATTCATAGACAAACACATTTTAGTAAAAAATATCAGGTAAAGAAATCAAAGTGTAGTATTGTGACAATAAGCAAATAACATGGGCAGTGGCTTGAAAGAATTCCCATACAAGGAATTTTTTCAAAGCATAACTATGTCTAACAACAAATAACATTAAACTTTTTTGCTTGACAGAGCAGTAATACTCTTTATGGATCAGATGATCTGTTAGCAAACCAAAATCCAATACAGTAATTATAAAAGATTGTTAGGATGTTGTATCTTAACTAAACTCTTTGAGACTCAGAATCCATATAACAGATACTATTAAGAATAAACAATATCAACATCCAGCCTGAGCTCAACATAGACCAAAAAACTGGTTTCAAATTGGATTCTTATATAATCGGAACAAAATCCAAATACCTTGAACTGATCCATTACAACTTTCTGGGGCAGAGTCATGTATATCATGATTTTACAGGCAAAAACAATAAACACAGTAAGACATTGCCACCAGCTGCTCTCAAGCAATGATACCTAGATACTTGTACATGCCAAGCATAATGGTGCCAAACATGATACATATCAAATACGACAATGTACATTGCATGCACACTTCTAGAGTATATTTTATAGCATTAAGACTTCTATAACATGTAAAAATATAATTTAAAAATCATACTATAAAATATATGTATATGTTATAAATTTCATTTAACTTTGCAAAATATAAGTATTGAGAATTGACATTTAGCATAGAAAATTATATAGTAAACCATGATATAAACATATTAAATAGGATACCCATACTGATATCCATGTCCATGTCAGTATCCATATCTTGGCACCATAGCTATCAAGCACCATGGAATCCTTCCTGAGGTAGTCAGGAGTTATCATACTTTTCAAACATCAATCAGCAATTTTCCTTGCTTGAGCTTCAGGTTAGCAACCCCCAATTCACCATAGTTTCAATGCATAAAATTGCTGCAATGTAACAGCTTCCAATCCTCTCAACAAGGAACTAATGTTTGCTTAAATCCCTAAAAAATAAAACTTTTTTTGATAGGCAAACCTATCAAATGCCATGTCCCAAAAAAAACCAAAATAAGAATGTATATTTAATGAGAAAAAAGCAAACCTGTTCAACATCTTCATCTGTGAACTGCAACAAGGGTCTGAAACCTTTATTTGTGCCAGCATTATTAATCTGTCCATCAGTGTCCAGAAATGTAAGGGTCAGGACAAGATGAAATAAAGGTACAAACGTACAAATGGAAGATAATGTTAGATAAAAGGGACCTCTGTGTTCTCTGTTGTTTCAACTTTCACAATTTCACTGGGATAGATAGGCAAGGATCTAGTGTGTGGGAGAGTCTGATTATATATTCACTAAACAGAATGTGGTTGATGTGAGTATATAATTTTTATCTCTAAGATATAAATGATGCCAATAAATTGAAAAAAAAAAGTGCATTACTCACCCAAATATCTATGGAGCCAAGCTCATTGACAGCAAAGTTTGACAACCTTCTTACATCATCAGGATTGCAGACATCACAGTCAATACCAACCACCTTTGCATATGCCATATTTTCTCTGTATGTGCGACTTCCTTTGAGAATTCCTTCCTTTAGGTTCTCTTCAAGTTCTGCTACAGTCTTGTGTACTGACTCAGGGCTGCCTTCATAACATCCAATAAGGAACTTAAAGACATCAGAGAGAACATTCCAGATGATGAACATTTAACTATGAGAAATAAGAAATAGACAGCCATGTGATATCAGAATCAAGGTTCGAAACACCACCTGCGGGAAGCAACAACAACACGATCTCCTGAAAGAAGGAATTCCCGAGCAAGTGCTTTGCCCAGACCCCTTGTACTGTAGCGAAAAACAGAAGCAGAATCAATGTTAGTGTACATTTTTCTGGATAATCTCAATTTTAATTTACTATATCTTCTTTTTGTTCGCAGCCATCTGGAGTAATTTCTGTACATATTGCAATTATTGACTAAGAAAAGCTCAGAATTTTCTCAAATTCAAGTATAAAATTTCATGGTTATAGTTTCATAATCCAATAAACTGCAATGAAAAAGAACAAACCCGGAAGGAACCAACTAGCACAAAGCGATATCACAATTCAGAAATGCTTCAACAAAATCCATGTCTTCATATTGATAATATCAATTTTTTATGAAGAAAAAAGCATAGATGGATTTTCAAGTTGCAGTGAAAGAAAATGCTGAAAGAAGAAGAATAAATTAAAAGAGGAGATAATATAATTAAGAAAATCAATTTCAAACTCGACTATTTAGTACCTTCCAGTTATGACAACGTTCCGGGGACCAGCTCTACAGTGTTCTTCTAAAACCATGTTAGCGCCTACCATTGTCCCGATGACAATTCCCCCAAGCCAGCTATACCAAATCAAAGTGTTCATCTGACTATCCCCGCCTTCATTAAATACGCAGCACTGTAAGAATGACATGAGAGAAAAGAATTGAAGGGTTTCTTGAAGAAAGATGTGATTTCGAACCTGACAACTGAAATCCAATCGCAAGTATTACTCCGGTACTCGTCATGGTTACAAGATACCTACCAACTTGGGTAGCAACCTGTCCAGTTAAAATAAGGGGGAACAAAAAGGAAATATAAGAAAAATCTTCAAATTTGCGGGCTCAAAATCAAATTTATGATTTTACAAGAAAAAAAAAAAAGTCAAGTTTGAGTTGAAGCTTTTATAATTCATATGAGCACCAAAAGGTGGAATCTTTAAACGATCTTCTCCAGAGGTTCCATCCTAGTAAAACTTACTTAATTTCTCCACAAAGGTGGCATTTTAATTTATTAAGCACTAACTTTGTCAAGGAACAATAGGGATTTTGTTGAGTAGGAGAAAACACTACTAACCGAGAAAAAAATTTCCTCTGCCTTTGCCACTGCGTCACGACACTCTCCTTGTAACGGTGGACGAGAACCAGAAAGCTTCAGAATAATAGATTTCAAAGAGTACAAAGCTCCAGTTCTCTTCTTTGGCTGCAACCGAGTTTGCTTCGAATTTTTATCTTTGCTCGCCTTGCCGGTTTCCTTCTCTACAGATTCTCTTCCATTCTCGGATCTAAACGACCTACATGGCTGCAGAGATATTCTACGGTGGAGGTTCGGTTGCCCTGGAACCGGAATTGCATCTAATGTTGCCGGACTCCGGTGGAAAAAAGGTTGGAATCTTGGCCTATGGTCGGTTCTTTGGTGATCTCTGAGGCTCGGCGGAGAGACGTGAAGCTTAGCGACAGTGGCCATGGTGGCCGACGGCGATTAACGAGGGAGTCGTAGCGGCTCAACTCTTTTTTCTTGAAATTATACACATGTGAGAGATGACAAAACAGCGCGCAGAGGTCGAACCTTCAACGGTTCTACTCGTAATACTATGCCAATCGTCATGCGCCACGTAAAATCCGTACACAAGGGCCTACAGGCCAAAATGACGTGTCGTATGATTATTGGCAAAAATATTTTGGTCTATTCGTAGTACTCGACCAATCATAATGGTGTATAAGTGGATTCCATCGGTTGGCCACGTCGTGCGAAGCTTTCTTTTGGAAGCGTCGGATTAGAGGAGGCAAAGATATTTACATTCTAATCCAACGGACTGAAATATAAGAGTTGGGCCGATTGGACGAATTTCGCGCTCTTGGTTCCCGTAAAAGGAAGAAATAAAGGATATGTGGCGCTGAGGGAACCGTGATGACCACACGTTAAAGCAACCACATCTCTACTTTTTAGACTGTGGAGTGAGGACACGTGGACCATACGTCTGTTTAATCGCAGATGGATTGCTGAAATTACCCTTCATTTTTATTGTATTTCCTGTCGTAGCTATTAAGCCAAGCTGCGAGCCTGCGACAAAATGTCTGCTACGTCACACGTGCAACTTTGCCGGTTTATAAGTCATTGAGAAAACCATTGGATTGGAATCTTTTTAGCTGGCTAGTGTGGTGGATTTTATGCAGTGGCCCGGCTTCAGACTTTCTTTTTTTTTGGTGGAAGGCTTCTGCCTTTCGGTCCCTTTGGATAGCTTATAAGTCATGTTTGGTAAAAAAATCCAATTTGAGACCGAAAAATTGTATTATTGGTGAAGGTAAGCTTCTTTCAGAAGCAGCTCAATGAAAGCAACTCAATCGAATATTCTGCCGCTCTCGAACAGAAATCGACTTCAGTACTACGTGCTTACACCATTCGCATGGCTATAAAAGGTGTACAAACTGTGTGTGAATACGGCCTTATGAGTATTGAAGCTAAACTCTCTCGAATGATCACATCTCTTCCCCACAAGGGACCACCCCACAATGTCCCACAATACATCCATCCCCATCGTGTATTGAAAACATCCCCAAAGATAATATCAGAATCCATGATATTATCATTGAGAGATATTTTTAATACCTGGCGGAGATGTGATGTGGGATGTTGTGGGGCGGTCCCTTGTGGGGAGGATATGTGAACTCAAATATCTCTCACACAGGATTAGAGTTCTTAGTCTGATATGATTAGGTCAAGGTTTTTTTCTTTCTTTTTTCTGATATTTGGATTAGATCAGGTTGAGGTCAACATAATGCAACCTTAGCTAGTGAGCTATGAACCGCAGATCAGGCCGGCCCAACTTCTCTACTTCTTTTTATCAAATTATCTTATTTTCTAAGGCTGTGTTTGGTTGCAAAGCAAATAAATTTGCACTAATGAAAAAACATGGCAGTGTTGAGTATAAATTCTGACATATTTTGTTTCAAATTGTAGATTATTTTGTTTGGTTGCAGTATAAATAAAGTAAATTAAGATATAAAACAGAATAAAATAAAATCTAAAACAAAATTAAACAAGAAATTGCATTTTTAACATTTGTACTCCCATGCATTTGTACTAGTGCAAATAAAATTGCACTGCAACCAAACACAGCCTAAAACTTAAAATTTGAGGTAAATTTAATTTTAACATTATTATATGTAAAAAAGCAATAATGCTTCCGAAAAACTATTTCTCTAAGTTTAAAAATTTTTGCCATATGTTGCATGGACACATGTGCATGTAAAAATATATAAATAAGGTTTTTTTAAGAAAAAATATTTATATATTAATAAATATTTATATGATATTTATACATACTAATATCAATCCAAATTAAGTTGACGTTAGATATTGGTGTAATGTGGGCCATATTGGATTGGCACAACACGGTTTTGTCATGCCGCTAATTGCTTGTACGATAGTAAATGGTCATGTTCATCGTTGGCACGGCCAAATATATAAGGGAGGAACGGCCAAACAGACTGGATGGGATTCGAATCAAGATATATTTGAATCCATCTAATATAATATAGATTGAATCAGATTTTTTAAATATTGATTCAAATTTGAATCTAATTAGGATGTCAAATATCTGAATATGATTCGATATTATTTATTTTTAAATAATAAATTATTAAAAGGAAAATATATAACAATTAAATAAAGACAATCAAAAAATATAAATATTTTTCAATTATTTTTATCATGTATATACATGTTTTTTATAACAAAAATAATATAAAGAAATTACAATATAAATAATAAAATAACACACACACACACACATATATATATATATAGGATGGAATAGGGGATGATCCAAATTCGATCCAATTCCCAAGGATTTGAATATCAGATATGATATGAAGATCCAAAATAGAGATATCTGAATCTAACTAAATAGGATTTGATTGGAACATGATCTGATCCATTTGCACCCCTAGGCATAGCATGGGCCCAAGACTATATCGTATTGGATTAGCATTATTTCTTTACAAAGAAAAAAAATAAAAAATACATATTTATATATTATTAATATATTTATATATATACATAAATATACATATCGGTCTGTCCAAACAAATTGTGTCATGCACTCATGCCAAACATGTGGGCAGATCATGTTCATGGGGCGCACTGGCTCGTGATTCACCAGTCGTGAACTTCATACCCCTAGCCAGTCCGGCCTGGGGGTATACATGGCCGCATGGTCCAACTCGAGCTGAGGGGCACTCTTGATATAATAATATAGACCATGTAATAATAGCTTTTAGGGCCTGTTTGATTTACAGAAATAGTGCTTTGGAATTAGAATTGAAATGGGTCATTCCGGTTCCAACTGCTTAATCCATTCAAACTTATTCAGGCATGAGAAGCCCATTTTATCTGTGTATGGATAAGAAAGATATTTGGAAGAGGAGGAGGACCCACAGAAAATATCTTCGAATTAGAAAAAGGTAAGGTAATAATGGATAGTGGATATGGAGAGAGAGAGAGAGGGGGAGGGGCGGGTGGTTTGTTTGTTTCTTGGGTTTTGCAATAGAGATGAGATGATCAACAAACTTGGGCCACTGGTATCACAAACTTTATCCATCCGTAAGAGTTATGACCGTAACTTAACCAGCCCAACAAGTCGCAGACTCGCAGCTAGAGCATGGAGCCATCATGCCCAACAACTCTCCCTCAGGAGTCAGGATATACTGTGCCATGTCAGCTGCCGAATCTGAAAGTGCCAACTGCCAAGCAGCCAGCAAATTTTACGAGTAGAACCGTAGACAATTTGGAATCTTCTCTCACCCGTCTAAATACTTCGAGTTACACGTGCAATGAATGGCCCGTTCCAGATGTGTAGGAAAAAAAAACACAAAAGTGCAGGGGACTCGCACTCTTCAGACTTCACGTGAAAGGTGAAATCCATACCTTAACTTTCAAATGTGTCACAGTAGTGGAACAGGCTGGCGCCTCACAGGTATATGCACCATACATTGGAAACATCTTTCATGAATAATAATTTATAAATATGAGAGATGTTCCCAATGTATAGTAGGATGTGCGTGTAAGGTCGCGGTGCAAAATGCTCTGTGTGAGAAGTAGATCCAGTCTTCACTGTAATATCTAAATTTTTAAAAAGCGTCAAATTGATATCTAATTTGACGCTTATAATTACAAAGATATTTTTAAAAGTACAAAAATATCTTTCACCTATCATCTAATTTTCTTATAAATGATATCCAATCTCTAATCTGTAACTACCTCCCATATCAGATTGGTAATGGATTCAGATATTCATGCCAATGATGAAAATACAAAATTGAAAAAATAATTTTTTTATTAACATAATTGACAAAACTTAAAGGAAACGGATGAAGGTCAGAAATGTAGATGGAAAAACAACACTTTGTGAGGACATGTTGTTGGAACAGGTGGCTACCTTCTCCGATCTCAAACATAACCGCCTTCCTTGAGCGCATGATTCGACTAAGAATCCCGATCTCATCACCTTCACCGGTACATTCTGTTTTCTAATTTTTTTTTTCTTCTTTTCGTCTTCTTTTCTCATATTCATTGAATTTAGAACAATAGATAAGCAAATAAATAGATGCCGATGACTTGATAATCTGACTGCTCAAGCCTATAAGAGATACAGATACAGAGTAAAGTGTTGTTCTTATGCTGACAATTACATTATAACCATGAGAGAGGAACTCAAAAACCTAATCCATTTTCTATTTTAAATTTGTTTCGAGGAGAACTATAGAAGATATTATAAGATGAAATCGTAGGAATGAAAAACATAACCACGAAATATAGCAGATTCCGAACTCGAAGGGCTTGGTGTCTGTCAGTATGTCTTATTCCTCTTTATCTCGACTCGTGACGCCCAAGTCTTTTCATAATACTTTCTTGATGCCGGAAGGGTATGAAGACCAGAAGAGTTTTGGTCAATCAAAATCCCCCAACTTAAATGAATACCGCTTGGTCTCTCCTTTTATGACATTGATTGTTTGGTTAAAAGCTTTTCTTGGATCACATCTTTCCAGTATCATGGTGGAACCCTTTATTTATATTTATAGCGGAGATTGATTCTTAAAATTGGGTGGATACCGGGTCACCCCTCAAGAAGATGGGCAGCACAGCATAGTAATTAATTTAGGGGTGTCAATTGGACTGGATTTGTTGATGGTAGCCTTGATCTTGCAGCATTGTCACCGGCCACCAACGCTCATCCATGGGCTGTTGTTCCTCGGTAACATGCACCATCGGCCTCTAGAACAAGAAAGAGGTTGATCCCAAATGGGAATTGGGATGCCACCGTTTCACCCTCCCTCATTCCTGCTTTGGTTAGAGGTGTCATCGTTTCTCCCTCTTTCATTCTTGTTCTAATTAGAGGTGGGCCTATCATGTAAAGGTAGAAGACAATGAATGGTGTCTTCATTAGTCCAGAATCTCAAATACCTTAACCGGTTCAGTCTCAAGGTAGAAGATAATGAACAATGTCTTCTTTTGAAGGGTAATCTTGACATTCTCAAAAATT